CACTATGTACAGTTAGTGATAAAAGTACTACATTAACTAAAATCGCGGGTTACTCACGTGAATATACCTACTGAGAAAAGTTCTACTAGTTTGAGTTCTTTTTCTAGTTAGAGTGAGCTTCGCGACATCGCCGCGACCGCGCACGCCGCTCATGAGGAAGAACCCCTCTGTGGTTCGAAACTAGTAGAGCTTTTCTCAGTATGTTCACGTGAGTAACCCGCGGTTTTAGTTCATTTAGTATGTCTTACAATAGTTATTATAAAAATAAAGTACCTACTACATAGTCGATTTTTTTTTGTGTATGATGAAATGAAGTATAGTATTGTCATCATGTAAAAACAATTCAAGGCATGTAGGTACCAACGATGATTTGTATGTCATATTATTGATAACAATTAATAGGTAATGGATGATTTATACCTATCCTACTTCCTACTAATATTGTAAATGTGAAAATTCGTATGTTTGTTTGTTTGTAACTCCTTAATGTATAAACGGCGTCGCGGAGAACCTAACGAGTAACCGGGGCTCCGGCTCGACGTGCATGAGAAGGAACGGTGTGGTTTTTAGTCAGTCTGACACTCCCTCCCGCCTCACCCAGGCGGGAGCAGTCATTCGATGATTTTCCCCCGTTAAAAAAAATGTATAAACGGCCGAAGGGATCGGGCTGAAATTTGGAACAGAGGTAGATTACGGTGAGGAATCATGCATAGGCTACTTTTTACCTCATGGGATTAGGCAAAGCCGCTGGCGGAAGCTAAGTTATACCTAAGAATAAAATCAAAACGAAAGTTCTTAATTATTTATTGAAAAAATCAATTTAGTTGATAAAATATTCAATTGTCATCTGCTAAACTAGACTATTACATTTTACAACATAACATAACATAACAACACGCCTTTTATCCCCGAAAGGGTAGGCAGAGGTGAAGATAACGGCACTTAATGCCACTGTACCATGTAACACACACTTTCCTTAATTTTATGTTACGAGTCCCACGTAATAGGGGGTGAGCCTATTGCCATATACCGAGCACAATACCAGACTCCGTCCTACCACTAAGAGTATTTAAAAACCCAGTAATACTTTGCCCGACGCGACCTGGGAATTGAACCCGAGACCGCTTGCTGTGCAGTCGCACTAGCGACCACTCGGCCAACGATTGAGTATTATATTTTAATTCCATAACATTTTGTCTTCGATTGTACCAGTCACATTACCAGTAGTTACGGCGATCATTGATACTTCCTGTATCGTACTATCGTTGTACGTTTCAACATCTTGCCTCATGCCTTAAACGAATCCTTTAATACTCGTAAGATGACGTGACGTCTTTTATACTTTAAAAGGAATTACCGAACAGACGAGGAGAAGTACAAATAACCCAGGACCCTATAAGGGCTCGTACACAAAACTGCGATGCGCAAAAATGTGCGAGCTCCTTCTACTCTACGCATCGCAAGAACTTTAAGAATTGATACGCATCGCGCATCTAAATCTTATCTTTCCAAAATCTTCTTTGTTTCTTTTTCCTAAGCAATAACAGAAGTGCACACTTCTTTTTACGATCCATTGCACGATCTAGTTTTCAATTTAATCGCATCGTATTTTTTTGCGTTGCAAATTCGCATCGCATCGCATCGCAGTGTTGTGTACGAGCCCTTAAAGAAATTAATGTTATCAGACTACATATTGATACTCTGAATAATATTACTCAGTCTAAATCAAATTGTTTACACTATTTTATAAGTATCTATACAGTATACTAAAATAATCACAATTTATTAATCGCTATGACGATTACACTTGATTTTCGGATTTTTGCTGTTAATTCGTATGTACCTACTTGAAATAAGTATGCAATATAGTTCATAATTAGTTAAAATCTCGATTAGTATTCATAGAAATTATTTTTAATTGGATTAAATACCCAATTATTTAAGGACAGTGCTAGACATTAGACTGCAGTTTAAGAGATCAAGAAGTTACGTGATTATAAGTGCAGTACCCAACTCATCATACCATTGCTTGCAAAACTCGTCTAATGATGGTCAACTGCCAACTTGGTCGATTGTATTTAAATTTAAACTATACATTATTATAAAACTAGCTGTCTCGACGAACTTCTTTTTTTTTTGTGGGGGGAAAATCATCCAATGAATTCTCCCACCTTGGGTTAGGCGAGAGGGAGTGTCAGACTCTTACTAACTAAATACCTCCCCGTTCCTATTCCTGCTCTTCGAGCCGAAGCCCCGGCAACCCGTTAGGTCTTCCGCGGCTCCGTATCGGGTATCAGTCCTATTGGGCCCCACCTGTGGTGGTCTGAAGGCTCTTTGAGGCGCGCGCGGAACACGACGCCCCGTATGCACGGGTCTGGTTATGATCGGGCGTCATCATATCCTGGAGATACAAACATAATTATGTCCCACGTCATCTTGTAATTTTACATACTATGTACCTAAACGTAGTTTGACACTAACTGCGAATAAATTAAAATTTCGCTAAGGTCAAAAAGAGTATCAGATGCCAATTAACTTACGTCATGTTATAATTATGACAAAAGTAATTAAAGTAACTGTCGCATTGGTGTTGATAAGTGAAAATAGGCCTTACTATTAAATAATGTGCAAGAAATTTTCAAACTTAGGTAGTTAACTTTATGGTCGATTATGTTTGTTATTGTTCTCGTAGTTAAACATGATAACACACGAACACTTGGCCTCAAGCTCGATTCCCGGATCACGCCTAATAATTTGAAAAAATAACAAGCGTTGATGCGAAATTATAATATGTAAAACAACACATTTAGAAGATTTTAGCATATCGATACGACCTTCAAACCTTCAAGAAAAGAGCGTATTCCTTTTTAAAAGGCCGGCAACGCACCTGTGACTCCTCTGGTGTTGCGGGTTTCCATGGGCGGCGCTGATCGCTTACCATCAGGTGATCCGTCTGCTCGTTTGCCTCCTATTCCATAAAAAAATCTTTACATTTAAAAACTTAATTTGTATTCCTAAATGTCCCAGGTTTTTATCGATATAACTTTCGTTAGTAGTACGAAAAAGTAACTGGCTTCACTATTGATAAATTTAAAAACAATAATAAAAAGAAATACTGAAATTCTCCGTCTATTGCAGGTGGTTTCTGAAATCTTTAGAAATCCGATTTACAAAAAGTTCGTTCTATCCACCGAAGTCAACTGAGTTTTTTCTTTTTTTTTTGATAATATTGTTACTTTATCAGGTCCTTATTAAGTATTAAATCAATTGAATTTAATCTTTGGTCGTCAGCACCTATAGTTCTGTACCTACAGAGCCTACCAACCTATATTGATTTTTTAGAAATTTTCATACACTGGGCAATTCCAATGTCCGTGTTAACTAATAAGAAAGACAAACCGACACCTCAATAATAGGTACTTTTACCGACCCAGGATTAAAAACCAAAACACATTGTTGAATAATAGCTTTGTTAAATTTCTGCTTTTCGTGATCAATGTATAACAGATACAGAACATTAATATTATGTTTAATTTTATTGGACGTCATTAAAATTAAATTAGGTAGAAATATTTATAACTACGTTAACAGTTAACATTGATAGTTATACTGTTTAAAATTACAATTTGTATCTCATTAAGGTTTATTTTTGATAAGGAGACGTCATGGATTCCAATCGTAACTGGTCATCGCCATTGAGGATTAAAATTAATTATATTATCTGGTTAATAGGGCCAATGATTTAAATATGTGTGCGTCAACATGATATTTGCATACGTAGGTATTTCCATCAAGTATAAATAACATAACATAATATCACGCCTTTTATCCCCGAAGGGGAAGGCAGAGATGCACCTCTGCATATTATGCCACTGTACAGTGTAACACCCACTTTTCACTATTTATGTTATGAGTCCCATGTAATAGGGAGTGAGCCTATTGCCATATAGCGGGCACAATTCCAGTCTCTGTGCTACTACTGAGATTTTTTTAAAAGCTACTTTATACTGCCCGGCAGTCGCACTTGCGACCACTCGGCCAGTATAAAGTATTAATATTTTAATTATTTCCTATAGTAAGCTGTTCCGGCAAGTTTCAGTTTCCACGCCTAAGCGGTACCTAATAGTGAACAAATGCACATTTTTAAACCTAATAATATTATTTTCGACCGACATACATTTTAATCAGAGTCTCACAATTTTAATCGACCAAATCTACTAAAATACCAACGTCACCTAAACTTGCGTAAAGAGTGGAAAGTTCACGTAAAATCTACATCATAAGTAATATTTAATTACCAAAACAATAATAATACTTTTTATTTTATTTTTTAAAACACGTTGCACCACACTAGGATTTTCACCTGTGTCGTGGGTGCGTTTACAAACATACACATGACACCCAAACCCGAAATAACAATTTGTGGATCACACAAAGAGTTGCTCCGTGCGGGAATCGAACCCACTACACGTTTTATACGACTCCAAAGTAAAAAAGGTGTTAAAATACCTATAAGTATAACATAAGTACCTATACAAGAAATGTGACCTAATACGGCTTTGATACGCTTCGAGCTAGCCACCAATCATGCATAAACAACACCTAACCAAATTTAATCCCCAAAAATCCACGAAATAGACGCCACGTCTTGGATACAGTGACCCGAACAACTTGTTGACCCGTACTCGAGACAGGCTACAGCATTACTATGGACTCCTGTGAACGGAAGAAACCCCACAAACTGTTACTTTTGATATCGACTGACGACATTCAAACGATACGGAATAATACGCATTATGTACTAATGTGTACCCCAACCGGTTTTTGAAGTAATTTGGAGGAAATTTCCGATATTAAGTACCGTTATCGACTGTTTTAATTGTTGTTATTGATGTGTGTCTAGTGTTGTTTGATTATTTTTGAAGGTTGAAGAGATATGAGTTCGCCTACAGTAAAAAGTTTACAACTGTGTTAGGTAGTTATAGTCTGATTCTTACTTGCGATTAAACCCACTCACTTGTAGGCTTCGTTGAAAAAAATGTTCAGGAGGATATTATAATTAACATATCTAAGCGGTGTTCCATAAAAACATTGCGTGTGACCAACTAAGTGTGATTTTAATATTACGACAAGACACCGATACGACCTTCGGCTCCGAGTGCAAACGAGAAAATGAATGGCTTATACAGGGTATCTAATTTCGCACGCTATATTAGTATACATTTCGCCTTTCAATCCTTCAGACGCTTTGACAAAAAAACGTCAGTATCTGTGGGTTGTTACTAGAGCAAGGTCTGCAGCACTGCGGTTCACGGCCCGCCGATATGCGCTGGGTGAGATGACTCAATTTTTCCTTATCATTTTTTATTACCACCTACTCCCCAATGTAAATGCTATATTTAATTTTGCAACTCGGTCGACAACATACGTCCATTCATAACGCTCTCAACGTTTCAGAAAAGTCTGGAATTAACGATACCTTGTCAATTAGTGCTATAATTAAGTTACACAATCACGTCGTGGTCGCTAGTCGAAACTTAGTGATCCGTAGTAGGTAGATATCAGGGAACAAGGCCGAATCGCCGGAGGCAGGCTGGACGCTAGGCTCGCGGCAGTCGTAGCGGCGCGCTCCGTGCACCACCATGCGGGACGAGGAACCCCCCCTGCCGCCCGCCTCGCCGTCACCCGCACGCCCCGCGCCCTCGCGCCTTCGTCGCACTCTACACACGCTACGAACGCCGTTCCGGCCTGGTTCGCCCTTCCACATCGGCTTGATCAAGCGCACAGGCTCCTCCAAATCCGTTGCCTCAGACGGTGAGATCGGCCGCGACGAACGCACGATGCGTAAGCGAAATAAGAAAAACCGCGACGCGGCTAGCGACGCGTCACGCAGCACGGACAGTTCGCCCAGCGTCGACAAGAAGAAAAAGGAGGGAAATACCTTTATGCGCAGGATGGGGAGCTTTGGTAAGAAACGTGCTAGTGAGTCACCACAACCACCTTCGGAAACTCAACCTTCATCTGCAAAGTCAACTACAGCAGAGCCTACCGCAACAAAATCAACCATAACAGAGCCAATCAAAGTAGAGCCATCTACAGTAAACACAACCACAAGTGAAGCAACCACAAGTGATCCAACCACAACAGAGCAATCCCAAATAACATCCCCAGACCTGGAACTACCAACCCCTGATCCGGTGAGTCCTATTGCTGTAGAACACCCTGTTGCAACGAGACCATTTTCAAAGTCGGCTTGGAAGCGCAACAGCGAGCCGGAAATGGAAAAGCCTGTAGAGGACCCCAGCCCAGAGAATGCACTACGCAGACGAATTGCATTTGTAGCTCAAGCATCGGCTTGCCTTTCGGAGGACCACGATGATGGAGAGAGGGGAGGCGCCGAGGTGGGGTCACTGGAAGAGGCGGTGGCGTTGGCGCGCGTGCGGCTGTCGGTGCCTGCACCGCCCTCGCCGACACAGTCGCGCGACGACGACACGGAAGAGGAGGGGTACTCGGACGCGATGCCCGCGTACGGAGACCTCATCGAGCCCGACGGCAACGCTGGGAGCGACGGCGCACCGGTGAGTGTGGTGTGTTGTGAGAGGCGCGTGCGCGGCCGCGGCGCGCTCAGTGGCCGAAGGGTCTCCGAGCGATGCGCGCGCGCCATGACCTTCGAGGAGGCGGGTGACGACTCCTACCTCACAGTGTGCGAGTGCTGCGGCTTCAGCGCTGAGACGGCCGTGTTGTTCCCAGTACGTTACATTTCACGATAGTTTACAGCGGACGTCACACGGCGCGATGCCCTTCGTGAGTACGACTAGCTTGCTCGTGTGCGCTTCGCTTTCACATAATCCTTATATTGTTGTTTTGTTTATTCAAGTGCACGCATCTACTTTGTGTTAGTGCTAGCTCTGACATAGTATATTTAGTTGTTGACAACAAATACAATTGGTTCTTTACGTGTAGGCAGTTAGTGACTTTACATCAATAATTTTTTAAATTTTAAGTTTTTTGAATTAGTTTTTCTATAAAATGGTTACGCAACTATTCGTAAGCCACAGAAATCGATTAAGGCTACTTAACATTAGACTGAAAACGAGTTATTTTCGAGGCTACGCAACTAGTTTGATACCGACGATGTGTTTAAATTATAACAAACGGTTCGACGAGTCTCCACTAACTTCCACGTTATGTTAATTATTTACTTATTATAGTGATGCTAACAAACATATTTCATAGACACGATCCATTAACAATACTGCTTCCTATTCTGTGCTACTCGTAGTTATAAAAGTAGAACAAGTTGAACCTGACATATATAACCTTAATCATTTTAAATTCTAAATTATAATGGATATGTACTAGCCACGTTTTGACATATTTGTTGCTCAGAAGATATTAACTCGTCGAGTACCGGTTTTATAGACACAATTAAAGAACAATAGGTCGCGGTCACCGGTGACCGCTTGGTGTTTGACAGTTTAATAAACTTTAAACTACCCACAGAGATTTTAAGGACATCGTTTATATAAATACCCTACGAAGGTAATATTAGTATACGCTACTATCGCACTACAACGTTTGCCATAATAGGAAATATGAATACACCGAGTGTTTATAATTATATAATATATTTACGGATTCTTACATTTAAGTAGGTACTATCTTTGTATAAGCAACTAATATAACTAACGTTTCCAAAAAGAATACCAATCTTCATCGTCGTAGGCAAATAATAAAATGTCTTCCGTATTTAAATATTCAGGCCGTTCATTCTCGACAATCTATTCAAAATTAGAAGGCTTTATCGGCGGCCAGTGCAACCATTTACATAGAATGTCCATTTTGAATTTTTAACCATAGATTTGTTACGTTAATACATTGATAATGTGTCTAAGGTCGTAAAGGTCTAAGATAGATGGCAGCAGTATAACATATTTTAAATACTCCTCCACCAATCAGGAAATGTTCTTTTGACATTTTTATGTCAAATCTTGAAACCAGTTTGCGTAAACCAATAAAATTATATATTTTTTAAACTTTGCCCCACTGTCAAAACCGGAAAGTAATTCGTAAATCACACAAGAAGCTTATGAGGGAATCGATCTGTAACAAGGTACTGAAATAGTAGTCACTAACTAACCATGAATTCATTGATTTATTCTTAGATAAATTTATTACCTCGCGTTAGTAACTGTGATCTTTTGTTTTGTTTTTTGTAATCGAAATGCTATTGCCAAAGAATCTGTCAAAACATCGATGGATGTGAACTTGCTTCAGTTTCCCCTTCACTGAGCATGTTCTAACATTTTATTTAGGTTATTAAACTATCGATTGTAACGTAACATTTCGATATCTCGATTCTTTACAAAATATTCGATTTCTAAGCCAGTGATGCAAGCGATTCATTCATTCGATTATATGTTACGTTTAAATAAGCATAATTACATATAAATGATACACGTGTCGTGTATGTTTGTATTTTGAACTGTTTTGCATATTTAGGTAATGTCTTATAAGATATCTGTTTACGATTTTTAAGTTATAAAAAAGCTGAATTGTATCTTATACTTTTATATAAATCGGAAGAGTTTTTTTTTGTTTGTTTGTTTGAACGCGCTAATCTCCGTAACTACATGTCTGATTTGAATAATTCTTTTTGTCTTGGATAGCGTTTATCGAGGATGGCTATAGGCTATAAAACATTACGCTACGACCTAAATGAGCTGAGCAGAGCGTGTGAAACCGGGCGGAAGTAGCTAGTACTTTATAAAGTATAATATTTTAGTTTCTGCCAAAATTAATTTTGAATGCAGTCTCTAAGGATATGAGGTTGTTTATACCCATTTCAAGTAACTATACCACATACCCATTTAAAGTAACTATACAACATATCGTCAATTAAATTGAAAAATGGCACTGAATTTTTTTAGAGTGTAACATTACTGCATAAAACGAGTCTACAAACAAGACTATTTTATATTTAAATAGTGCATGCCAAATTCACTAGATGTCGCAAGTGTCTTTTCGATTCAAACGAATTCTAATGAAATTAAAAACTACAAACGCTTGTAAGTACTGTAAAATTTGTTTCTTCTGATATACGTCATTTTTCTATTTAACCTATGATATAAATAATACTAGTAATGTAGGTATAATATTAAAAAAATGGTCTAGTTTTTAAATCAAGTCTATTAATAGCTCATCAATTTGCCATGACCATGGAATTACAATTAAATTATTCAAGATATTAGACAACATTCTTATTCTAATCATTATTGCTTTGATTTACGGTTCAAACGTAATGATTTTGACGTACAAAGAGCTTCTTAATGGTGTAATTTAAATAAGTTTCGACTTCGTGTCAATTGCATAACAGAACATCACGCCTTTTATCCCCGAAGGGGTAGGCAGAGGTGCAAACAGAAGTAACACCCACTTTTCACTATTTATGTTATGAGTCCCATGTAATAGGGGGTGAGCCTATTGCCATATACCGGGCACATTTCCAGACTCCAGATTTTTTTTTAAAACCCAGTATTACTTTGCCCGACCCGGGAATTGAACCCGAGACCCCTTGCCGCAGTCACACTTGCGACCACTCGGTCAACGAGACAGTCTTAAAATATAGCTATATATAAATAATACTATATTAATACAACTTAGTGCAATTTTCAACCGACTTTATTTCACACAGATTTATATTTTGCTACGCGAAATCGAAGTTTGTAGCGAGCGCGTAGAGAGCGTAGCATGGCGTAGCGTCGCGTAACGTCGCGTAGCACGGCGTAGCTATACCATAATAGGATCGTTTACGTGTTAAAATAATGATATTAGAATTAAATTAAATTCTACAGAAACAGTTCATTACTATAAAGACTATGTATGTTGATCAGCTTTTTTTTAACAAAATATTCCAAAATTACGTTTTAAACTTTAAATCAAGTTTAACGAAATGACGTAACTAATATGGCGTTAGTAATATTTACAGTAAAAAAATATTTATATCATTATGAAATCATTTCTTTGACCGAGTAACTACTTGCATAGAATTATTGGTATGATTGTTATATTTCTTATGCCCGGTATATGGCAATAGGCTCACCACTTACATGGGACTCATAACATAAATAGTGAAAAGTGGGTGTTACATTGTACAGTGGTATTAAGTGCCGTAATGTGCACCTCTGTCTACATATAGAAAGACGTGATGTTATTATTATATTTCTCTATATGTGTACTGTGTATTACTTTTTTTGTAGATCGGATAAGTTTTGAATAGAAACTTCATAAGCTAATTAATATCAAAATATATACGGCTATCCGTATGAAGTTTCTAATTAATTTCGTAATATATAATTTCTAATTAAATAAATTCTCAGATTTTTTCAGATTGAGATTGGTTATTAGTATTAGGCGTATATTGAAATCAAACAACTTTGAACAATAGGTGTTGAGTAACACATTATGATACAAAAATAAACGAAATTATTATTTAATACTGTTTACCAGGTGTTTCTTGTTGGCATTTTGTTTTCTATATTATTTTTTGTCATTTGCTATTTTTAGTCAATTATCTAGTGTTAGCATCTTTATTGTTTTGTTTTGTTTTAAAAACAATCATTATTCAAATTAGATTTCACGTACCAAAATTTTAAATAATATAAACCTTTCCTAAATCTAGACAACTATTTAAATAAGTAAAAGAAAGTAGCCATACCAAAAATCACAACGGGTCTTTGTCATATGACAACAAAATAAAAGGTTTAAATTAAAAATTAAAATCAAGAAAATTAATTCTCTATCTCGCTCCGGCTCGAAGGGCAGGAGAAGGAACGGGGTGGTTTTTAGTCAGTAAGAGTCTGACACTCCCTTCCGCCTCATCTCGGTGGGAAAAGTCATTCGATGATTTAAAAAAATCTCCTAAAATACACCCTAATACATAAAGCTTATGAATTTCGTCTTCAAAACTATAAACAAAGCTCTATACAAACTTACCCAAAGATAAGCTACAACCCATTAAAGATCACAGACACGCCGAAATTACTTAAAACTACAATATTTTTTGTACTCACATCAAATTACAACGACGACTTATTTATTAATCTTGTGAAATTTTGATAAAGTTTATCAGTAATGTAATGGTAAAGATCAAAAAATTAATTAACAGATCAAGAATACACAAAACTTCTTGTTTTTTTAATAGCGTTGAAAGATTATTGTGTGTCTGTGGCTTATATTTTTTTTTGTGCCATGAAAGGCGGACGCGGTGTGATAAATATGAACGAGTAGGTTTAATATACTAGAAGTTACAATTTATTTAATTCGTCTATGAATGAGTTAATTAGTCGTTATGAGGATCTTGGTTATCTACCTTTAATTAGTTATCGACTTAATACCTAAACTAAAAAATAATAATAAAGAACATGTTAAAAATCAAGCCGTAGGATTTCAAATAAAGAACGTTATATTTTTTTGGGACGTGAAGGGAAGTGGGTTTGAACCATAGAGAAACCTTAAAAATGAGGTGTAAATATCAATTAATGGTTTGGAAAATTTGATGGTTCAATTAGCGCGTTGA